TATATATATATATATATATTTCTTGTTTGGCTCGCGTTCAACTCGAAACTAGCTTGTTTAAATTAATTAAAAAAAATAAATGTAGGGTGTTCGTGTTTGGGTTGATTTATATATTCTTGTTTGTGCTGGACTTGTGTTTGGCTCGAAATTGACTTATTTAAATTAAGTAAAAAAATAGATATAGTGTTTTAGATTCAAACCTACATCATTTTTGCACCGTAGAAGGTGCATAATCACATGACAACATAAACTGTTATGATTTAAATTTTGACGTAAATATATATATATATATAATCAAACACGATTGTACGAAAGGTTGTTTTTGTTCAACTCGTTTATGTAACGAATGATTCGAACACAAGCTATGTAATAGGCCAAACACAAGCTCTTCATGAACAATAAACTTTTTTGATAGTCCTATGCTAGACATTATTAAATAGGGGATTTGAATTTGATAGAAGTCTGTTTTTTTTTCATCTTTTCAATTCATCTGACAATTAACTGATCGAACTGGGTTCTGCATGAAAAGAAAATTTAGCGAAAATTAAATCTGAAACAAAAGGCAACAGTCAGAAAAGCATATTTGTACACCTGAAAGGTATTTCATTAGGCAGAAAGCGATTGTTTAATCCCTCCGTTTATGTTTTTGCCTCATCAAACACAATGATTTGCTTGAGCTTGAGAAATTCAAAGTAATGGCCACTGCGATTAAATAGGCTGCTATGGATGAATTTTGAGCTGGCTGCATTATAATAAAGAGAAGTTTCAGCAGCAGTGATTAAAATAGGCTATGTCGATTTAAGTCATCATAAAATTGCAGCAGCGGTTTAAAAACAAATCCAGTTTTGCTGTGGTTGTTGTCTGCCACAATGGTTTCTTACAGTGGCTGTGCAAATGTTGCTGAAAATTGGGAGAAAAGGTGGTGGTTTCAATCACTCGCAATTTCCCTCTATTATAATTTACGTTATAATCAAAACATGTCTTGATTTAACACTTATAATTAAATTTTAGTTGGTATTTTTAGAATCTTGAATGTGAAATATCGACTCATTAGTTAGATATACATGTATGCATGTATCATTTAATTATTTCGAGTCAAAATAAATCGAACACGAACGAATAAATCTTTATTTATGTTCCGCTCATTTATATATCGAGCGCAAAGAAATTATTCATGTTCGACTAGTTTGTTTGGCGAATAAATTACACACTAGCTATTTAACTAGCCAAAAATCATTGTTCGTGAACAACAACAACAACAACAACAAAACCTTAATCCCACTAGGTGGGGTCGGCTACATGAATCTTTTTTCTCCATTGCGTCTTATTTTGTGTCATATTTTCATTTAGTTCTAGTAAATTAAGGTCATTTTTAATACAATAAGCCCAAGTCTTCCTAGGTCTATCTCCGCCTTTCTTAACACAAGTCGAATCTAAAACATATACTCTCCTAATCGGATCATCAAATGGTCGACGTTTAATGTGACCAAACCATCTAAGGCGACTTTGTCTAATTTTGTCCGTCACAGGAGCTACACCAACCCTATCACAGATATATTCATTTCGCATTTTGTCTCTAAGTGTAAAACCACTCATCCACCGAATCATTCTCATCTCGGCAACACTTAACTTATTATTATGCTTCTCTTTTAACGGCCAACATTCAGCGCCATATAGCATTGAAGGTCTCACCACCGTCTTATAAAATTTTCCTGTTCGTGAACAACAACAAATTTTTTCTTATAGCCCTAATTATTATTATTATTGTCTTTTCAAATCACTTTTTTCTCGCATATTTAAAAACTACATCAAATTTAACTGGTAAAATATTCACATCTGCATTTAAAATTATACACATTTTTAATGGATTTACAAGAAATATTTTGTATTTAAAACCTTGAATACTCATCACATAATTTATTATGGATAAACAAATAAAACTTAATATAGAAGAACCAAAAATGAATACAATATTTTTTTATGACTTGTTATATATATATATATA